TTCTTCATTAGTTTTCATTAGTTTTCATTAGGTTTCATTTTGAAACTATTGAAATTTCTTCGTTTGGGTTTCTTTGCACTTATTATTTATGATTAATCAATTCCACATAATTTTTATTCCGAAATATTACTTATCCAAATTTTTTAACAAATAAAAATTTTCATGAGAGATTTGACAACCACGCATTTTTGTTCGCCGCAGTTGGTATTCTTGTGTCCCGATAAAATCCTATACTGTACTATAGAATCTATAGTGTATGCCTTGGCGGAGTTCACACGATGGCTTTCGCTGCGCGCACTCTAGCCTCCCTCAACATTGCCATGTTTAGCCATCAGTTTCCTCTAACGTAACTAAAATCCCGAACTATGTCATACATTTTCAATAATTACAAATAATCCCTGTGGTGACGGCTAATGAAATTGTGGGAATATGTTTCTGAAGTATATACGGTTCTATTCATGAAGCGTTTAGATTTTTATTCCATTGTCGATTATTTTTTTGTGACTTTTGAAAAAGTGACGCTATAAGGTGTTGATGACACATTTTTCATATTTCTCCTCAACAATCTACGTGATTCAGTATTTTGGGAGTTCGGGAGGATATTTGTAATCACTCAACAAATATATTTTCAAAAATTCAGCTCTGCAGTCCCTTTACTTTTACTCCCATATACTTACTGCAGAAGTTCCTTTATTTTAAATTTTGAGTGGTATTCGGAAGTGAATTTTTCCATCCAAATTTCGGCCAAGAGAATTGCATTATGAGATAAAATCCATCTGTCAGTTCTACCGAGGGGCTCACTCAACCATCTTCAGGAAATCATCAGGAAATCTTTTGTTTTTCATATATATATATCAACATGGGAAATTATCAGTTATTATACCCCGAGACCTTCAAAATTATCGGAATATTTCCCGATAGCTTTGTTGCAAACAAATAAAAATGTCAAGCTTTGCAGGCTAAAATTTTTCTGTAGAGCTTGACACTTTTGTTTGTTTGCAGGGAAACTTGAGGGAAATATCCGATGAATTTTGCAGGTCAAGGGGTATTCGGAGGACAATTTCTTTAATTCTGATTTTCGCCGATCAGGGTTATTCGGGGTTACGGGACAAATTTCACCAAAATGTGAGGAATATCTGCCAAATTCGTAGAAAACCATCGACAGGCTACAGGGAAATTATCAGTCTAATAATTTCCCTGTAGCCGGGGAAATTATTAGTGTGAAACGTGTCACGTGATCCCGAATACCGCACTCTGATTGGCTAAAATCAGAATTGAGGAAATTGTCAGTTGAATACCGTGTTGACTATATAAAATAACAGTCCAATAGTGCAAGTCCAATAGTGCATCTGGTGACTGAAATTGGGATGAAAAAAATTCTCAATAGAAAAAGTCAAGAGAATTCGCTTTTTCTATACAACTTATTCTATTGATATATTTTCTCTAGAATTTCCTCAGCTCAAATTTTCCATGTTTTTTCGTTTCATTTTCTTGATAAAAATAAAACAAAAATAGAATGAACAAAACTTGGAAAATGTGAGCTGAGGAAATTCTATAGAAAATATCTCAATAGAATAATTCGTATAGAAGAATCGAATTCTCTGGACTTTTTCTAAAAAATCCGTTCTATTGAACATCACAATAGAATCGGTCAAAAACTAATAGAAAGTTCAATAGAAATCCAATCGAATTGTCTGGCGAATTCGTTAGATTTCCTATTAAATTTTGTCATACGTAAATCAAGACGAGAATCAAATAGATTTTTTTATTCAGTTACTTTTTTGCATTATTCAAAGAAGAAAACTCTTATACACTTGAATGAAAACTCCAAGAATTAATGCCTCTCAAACACCAGAGTATCTCCCCATTAATGGAAAAAAATCCATCAATCATTTCCAGAACATTAAACAAAGCAGTAAATGAAAAAAGCCCTAAAGATTTCCTAATTTTTCCATAATGGGGTAATGTGAATTTAATTCTCCTTTAATTAGACATAAAATATGTAACATTCATAACCCCATTCTAATCCTCATCTTGCGAAGACAGCCCCCAACTGAAATAATGAATCGCGCAGAATCGTGACCTCATCTCATCAGAAAAGTAGAATAAAAAACAAAGACTGAGAGTTATTCAAACCTCGTCATTTTCATGCAGAGACGAGAGGGGAGAAAAAAATGAAAAATCGTGGATGGGGTTGAGGAGTGTGCCTAGCACGTGGTACACGATGGTATTAATTTAACTTTACCGACCCAACGCAACTGGGAATACTATGGTCTCTCGAGGGGGTTACAGAAATTACATTGAAACGAATTACCTAGTTGGCTTGCCCATAGATTTATTCGACTCGTGCGCCCCTGTTTCTTCAACACAATTTAATACGTTTTATTACTAAGTAATTACAATACTATTAATTAATTCAATTGAATTTACAATGCTTCCTGTTGATGAAATCTGACCGAAAAAGGTGGAATGAAGCGGTGGAAATTTTCTCATTAAAATTCTTGAAATCTTGGATTAATTTTCGTTGATGAATCTTTGTGGGAAAGAAAACCTTGGGGATTATATTAGCTCGCTATCTCTCGCGCTCGGCCGCTAGCCTTCATCCGCCGTACGGTCAGCGCTGCGCCGCTGGGTTTAACCGAGCGCGCTGTTGCCACCGTGGCCTTACCGTCGTGCGCGCAGTTCAAGTGTGGCAGTGAATGCAGCAACACTGTCGTTCCTGCGGTCGACGAGGGCTCACTCGCACCGGGCGGTGCGGCCCCGCTTTTCTGTCTGTTCGGCGTTTCTTTTCTTTTTTTAGCTAAACAAATTTTCCGAAAAAAAAACGGACAACGCCAATGCTTAATAAGAAAAATTGAACAGAATTTTTTCTGAATTTTTAAGCGTCGAGAAGCACGCTAAAATATAAATAAACGAAAACGAGTGAATGATCGAGGGTTAAGAATATTTTTGCAGGCAAAATGTTCTGAAAGATTCATCGAAGGAAGTTCTTGTGGGATATTTTATGAGTTGCAAGAAAATCCTCGTGTATTTTTCTTAGTATCTACAGAAATATTGAATTGATCTTTTTTCAAAATAATGTAAATGAAATATTGACTTGCCCTGTACTCTACATCGTTTTGTTCAGGAATAATTCGATAAATTAATAACTTCGCTTCTAGATACCCAAAGATCAGAACTAACGACTAAATTAAGATCATTGAAATATTTCTCTCCGTACTGGACTTTCCAGTTTATGGTGGCAACTGACTCCGAAGCTCTCTCGGTTATAGACAATTTCATTTCCAAGTGTACCCTCCGCATATAACCAATAAATATATAGTAAAGAAATGTAAAAATTAAATGTATGAATGTTACCGATAGTGTAAATAACCAGGATATGGTTTCTATACTTTAAACTAATAAAAAAAAAAAAAATTAATAACTACATAGAAAATAATAAGCTTTCCCCCCCTCCTATACAACATATTCTGCCACGATATCCTAGACAACCCCTTTCAGATAAGCAATCCCAAGAAATATCTCGTACAATTCGCTGACGACACTGCCCTCATTGGGTACGGCAAAAACTGGGAATCGGCAACGAAAAACCTTCAAGACCTCGCCGATGTAGTCCAGATCTGGTTCAACCAATAGCGACTCCAACTCAACCCTTCCAAATCACAATACATGCAATTCTTCCTCAATCCCCAAAAATCTTCGTCCAACATCACTCTCCAGAACACCCCCATCGATCCCTGTCCCTACACCAGATATCTCGGGGTTGAAGTTGACTACAATCTCAACTTCAAAGCCCATGCCAATATCATTAAAAAAAGTGCATTGCTCGAGGTGTGAAGTTCCGAGGCCTCACCTATAAAGACAAAGGGCTCAACACCCATCACATTGTTAAAATATATAAAGCAATATGCCGGCCAATCCTAGATTACGCCCATCCCCTTCTCCTCTATTCCAGACCTGGTACCAAAGAAATAGTAGGCGTAACCGAAAGAACCACCTTCCGAAAAATGACAAAAATTCGTCACTCTGACAACCTCCTTCACAACCCCTCCAATACCCTCCTTTACGAACGCACCAAAATAGAACCCATCATTGACAGATTCCACAAACTGACAACGAGTTTTGCTCTTAGCAAACTGGACCATATTCGCGACCTCTGCCACAAGCGCAATCCTAGGATCCGGACTCGTTACAAATACCCTCGGCATACCTTATTTGAAAATCTCAAAGCCATCAGAATTGAGAATATGGGCTCCGACTTCTGGGGAGGCCCTGTCCATCTCCAACAATAAATTGTAAAATTCTGTAACTCCTCTCACATCATTTCATTCCTTTATATTGTACCATCTCGCCACACGCAATCCTGTCAAAACCATCGTTACTTTCTCTATCTTCACTCAGTAAAACTGAATTCAAATTTTTTTCGTACTTACTCGTATCAACTATCATGTACATAATATATAAATACTTGGCTGAAGGCCCTCGGGCGATGGTCAGTTGCAATTTCTGGCAGGAACTTGCAACGAATTTCGTTAAAAATAAAAATAAATAATAAGCTTTCTGATATTTTACTCTAAACCAACAAGTTTCAAAGATATTGACAAATTTTCTCATCAAAGCCCTTGAAATCTGAGATTAATTTTCTTTAATAAACCATCAGGAGATAGTAAAACTTGAGGATTGTCTCCAGATGATCTTCGAAGAGACGAGGTTCAGAATAATGGCATTATAAAACTACTTTATGTAGCCAATTTCATGCGCTACAAAAAGGATCTCTAGATATTTCGGGTAAAATAAGGAAACTCGTCTTCTATTCTCACCCATTATGCTAAGAAATTCTCAATTTTACAACAAAATATATAATTTTTATAGCTGCAAGTAAAACCTCTTTCCATTCTCCACTGAACTCATCATTTTTGGGAATGTGAACAGAATAAATACCTCCGAGAGGCTGCCATCGCATTGAACAATTCTCCCATTCTTTCTGTTACAGTAGAACCATGGGACGTCTGGCGACTCATCTGCTCTGCTTGGGCCTAATCTTCATGATGACCAACGGTCATGAATCCTGGGAATGCCTGGCCCCCTGCAAATGTAAATGGGTCTCCGGGAAGAAGACAGCGGAGTGTGTGCGTTCCAACTTCACACACATCCCCAATTACCTGTCCTCAGAGATTCAGAGTCTCGATTTAACAGGCAATCGCATCAATCACTTATCAGCTGATGCATTCAGTCGAGTAGGTCTCGTAAACCTCCATAAGCTGATCATGCGTGAATGCGGTGTAAGAGCCATCGATGTCGCAGCCTTTAACGGCCTGAAGATCGTCATCGAGCTAGACCTCTCGAACAATCACCTGAAGAACCTCCTTTCAGGTACCTTCGTGGAGACTCAGCGTCTGCGTGTCCTCTTGCTAAACCACAATCAGCTGGAGAGCTTGGAGAACGGTCTGTTCCACGATCTGGCGTTCCTCCAGAAGATCGAGCTCTCCAACAACAGACTGGAAAGGATCTCAGAGAAGACCTTCAAGAACCTGCCAGGTCTGCAGACCCTCACTCTCGACGGCAACAACCTGACGACAGTCAAGCTAACGACCTTCGAGAATCTTCCAAAGCTCGGCAGTCTGGAACTACAGAACAACCACTGGAACTGCAACTGTCACCTCAAAAGATTCCGCAATTGGACCATCGAACGCAAACTCTACACCGAACCAACAAAATGCAGTCAACCATCTACCCTAGCTGGAAAAATGTGGAACGAGGTGGACAGTGATGAGTTCGCTTGTCGTCCAAAAATCCTTTCCATAGGCCCCTACACCCATTTAGAAATCATAACAGGTGACACTGTGACAATGTGGTGTCATGCAGCTGGCATACCACGTCCCCAATTATCCTGGGTGCATCGTTCTCGTGTAATTAGCAATTCAACCAGACGACACACAACCGATCGCGGTTATTTATTGACTGAACGCCACGAATGGCTGAATCTAACAATACCAGATGTACTGGTTGCTGACAAGGGTGACTACATATGCATTGCCAAGAGTCCCGGTGGTAGTGTTGAGAGAAACATAAGTGTCACGATACTCGGGGACAATGAGAGCAGTAAAATTGGACCAATAAGTCTGTCACTTGCACTTGGCCTTGGTGTGACGCTACTACTTCTACTCCTGTTTCTTATGTCACTGTGTGCATGGTATTGCAGGAGAAAACGGATGCGACATGATGAGAAGAATAGTGCTGATGTTACGTCGTTAGAGCATCATGGCTTGGGTGAACAGGAGAAGTCACTCATTACAGCAATTAATCCAGTCGTTAAGCCACCGAGGAGATACGAAGCACCATCGGTTACGTCCCATGGTACTGAGATGACTGAGCTCAATCGCACACTACTTGACAACGACTCTGTCTTCGGTCAGTACACTGCCTTTATTACGAGACAATGCGTTGTTAAATAATTGGGGGATTTATTGTTTAATTTTTTCATTCGGCTGAGGATGTTTGGGCACTAGACGAAAGATTGTTTCTGCTCTTTGAGCCTGCATTAATTGTGTAGATTCAGATATGGGGACATTCAAGGATTACGTCAGCATAGTTGAGAGGGCCGCCCAGAATTTCTGACAGTGCATGTTAGCTATATAGGGAATATGCTTACGTAATACTTAAACGAATGATATGGAAGGAGTAATCTAAATTTCTAGGGTGCTTACGTCACTCATTCATTAGAAAAATCTGAAGATTTACCAGCGAAATACATATCACTGTACAACTAATAGTTGAATTGCTAAAACGAATGCCCAAGAATCCTCAACTTTTAATTACTTTTTCAATTCAAAATGTACGGTGCTTTAAAACAAAACTGATGTACATAATGTAAAAATTGTAAATTCTAGAGAACGAGAGAAACTAATTAATTTATGATAACATGTACATTGTACATTCGTAGCGGGGATCGAAGTGAGATACAAAACAGGATGTAGGGAGAGTTAGCTGTTTTTAATTTTCATAATTTATGACAACAGAAAATTGTAGACAGAGAAAGAGAGTGAGAGAGAGAGAGAGAGAGAGAGAGAGAGAGAGAGAGAGAGAGAGAGAGAGAGAGAGAGAGAGAGAGAGAGAGAGAGAG